TCAGCCACCAGTGTGGGTCCGGGATGCCGAGCTGGGGGAAAGAGGGGATTTTCCTCTCGAGTGAGCAATCTGAGCCCCAGATCAGGGCTCCCATGGCCTGTGGGCCTCCTGGTGGTGAGAGGCGTGGCCTGGGCCCTGGGCCAATCACAGACGCTGCTACAATCACACATTGCTACAATGTTTCCTTTTGTTTTGTGGCACAGCTGCCACCAGCTCTCCCTGGGCTCTGTCCAGGTGCTGCTCCTGAATCCAGTGCTCCTATGTGGTTTCCCAAATTCTCCCACCCCCACACTGCCTTGGGGCCCCTTCCTTCTTCAGTTTTTGTACACCCCCTTTTCCACCCAGTGACTATTAAAGAACTCCCCAAATGAATAAAGATGACAAAGGAGGTTGGAGTGGAATGAACTACACACATCAAGGCAATAGCAATTGAGTGGAATACTATGCACTTGTTAAAAAGGCTGTTCTCAAAGAATACTTAGTGACAGGAAAATACTAAAAAACATAAGGGGTGGGGGAGAGAGTATATGCAGTCATATATACAATTTGATCTTGATGCCATAGAATATGTGTATATAACAGTAATTATTTATTTATTTATTTATTTTTAAAAATATTTCATTTATTTATTTGAGAGGTAGAGTTACAGGCAGTGAGAGGGAGAGACAGAGAGAAAGGTCTTCCTTCCGTTGGTAAATTCCCCAAATGGCCGCAATAGCCAGAGCTACGCTGATCCAAAACCAGGAGCCTGGAGCCTCTTCCGGGTCTCCCACGCGGGTGCAGGGTCCCAAGGACTTGGGCCATCTTCTATTGCTATCCCAGGCCATAGCAGAGAACTGGATCTGAAGAGGGGCAGCTGGGACTAGAACCGGTGCCCATATGGGACGCCCGGCACTGCAGGTGGAGGATCAACCTGCTGTGCCATGGAGCCGGCCCCAGTAATTATTATTTAACAAATGCATGTTGAGCACCCACTATGCCCTGGGCAGTGGGAGCGCAGGGAGGTAGAAGACAGCCCAGTCCAGCTGTCCAGGAGCCACACACACACACACACACACACGCACACAGCCTTGGTCTCTTCTTCCCGGGTTCCGCACTGATTTACACGCTCGTCTTAGCTCCTAAATGTCAGAGATAATGTCTGGTTCACGCCACACCTCCCACACCGGCCACATTGCCTGCACCGCCCGCACCGCCCACACCGCCCGCACCGCCGGCACTGCCATCCCCAGGTTCCGGAGAGCCTCGCGCCCAAGGCCTGCCGTCCGGCTGCTCCCCTGGCACCCTCGTCCTGTTATTCTCTCCTCATGGTGCGCGGTGCTGAGCACAGCGCCTTCATCACTGCCCAGCCTCCCGCCTCGGTTTCCCCTCCGATCCTCGCTGGGTCCTCCTGAGGAAAAGAGCAGGGCAAGGTCGGCCAGGGCGCCGGCCCAGGGGACGGCCAGCAGCAGGTTCTTTGTCCCAGGAGCACAAAGCCGCCGTTGTATGGTGGCGCGAATCTGGGCAGCGAGCCACGGGGGACAGGCGGCGGCCATGGGAGGAGTGGGCAGGGTTTCCAGCGCCCCCTCCTGCGGGCTGGCTGCCCAGGAGCTCTCCTCCCTAGGCCTGAAGCATCAGTGGGTGCTGCTTCCCAGCCCCACTCCCCAAAGCGCCCCCCCAGGCCCCACCCTAGAATGGAGGAGTGTGGGGGGGAGCCGCGGCCAGGGGGCGGGGCCGAGGGCAAGGCCCAGGAGCCTGGCCCTGATGTCACTCAGTGGCCCTGCCCATCCCGCGGGAGGTGGGGAGCAGACAGGGGAGAGGCTGAGCTCCTGGGAGGCTGGGCCCTCGCCCCACAGCAGCCTGGCACGGGAGCCCCATCCGGACTTGGGGAGGGAGGGCACCCATTTAACAGAAGGGAATGCTGAGGCTGGCCGCAGCACTGAAGCCATAGCTTTAGCCTTCTGAAGATGAGGTGTTGGTGGCCTTTCTCCTGCCCCTTAGGTCGTGAGCTGTCCGGGACAGACAAGGGTGAGTTATCTCTGTATAAACAAACAGTAGTCCTGGAGGAATCACTTAATTCCCTCGGGCCTCGGTTTTCTGCCTGCCGCTCACAGCCCTGAGCTGGCCCCTCTTGGCCTTTCCAGCCCTGACCCACCCTGCCCAGCGTCCTTGAGTTCTGCGCACTTTCTGAGCTCTGTTCTCCCCTGGGAGGAGCCACCCCACTCCTGCCCCAGGGCCTTTGCACGTGCTAGTCCTGCCACACGGATCGCTCTTCCCTCCTCATCCTTCGGGTCTGGGCTCACACTTGGCTCCCTCGGGAAGGCCGCCCCTGCCCCAGCCTTCACCACAGTGTAATGACTTCAGAGAGTGGTCTGATCCCTCTGACCCTGTGGATGGCCCGTGAACCCCTGGAGCGGCTGGGGTGGGTGGAGCCAGGGAGGGACCAGGCCGCGTAACTGATGGCAGCAATGGGCAGCCGCTAAGAGCCAAGAATAATCTTTCTAAAGATTTTGTTTATTTATTTGAAGGGCAGAGTTGCAGAGAGAGAAGCAGAAACAGAGACAAAGAGAGAGAGAGGTCTTCCATTGGCTGGCTCACTCTGCAAATGGCCACAACAGCCAGGGCTGGCCCAGGCTGAAGCCAGGAGCCTGGAGCTTCATCTGGGTCTCCCTCGTGGGCGGCAGGGGCTTAAGTGCCTGGACCATCTTCCACTGCCTCCACAGGCGCATTTACAGTGAGCTGGATCAGAAGTGGAGCAGGGGAGACTCAAACCAGCACTGCTACATGGGATGCTGGCCCTGCAGGCAGCAGCGTAACCCGCTGTCCCGGGACCCCGCCCCCGTCTTAGCCTGCATGTTCATCACTAGGCCGAATGCCTGCCCCAGCATGGACGCTTTGAAAAGCAGACGCCAGCTGCTGGCAAGCACACAGACAGTCAGGCTGGCGGGGCTGCCAAAACACCCCAGCCCCCATGGAGAGCAGTGTGCAGGTTTTTTGTGCTGTGAGACATGTATTCAGCACGCGACCCAGCAGGCCCACGCCAGCATGCTCTCCCAGGGGACACGGAAACAAGTGCACGCCCAAACCTGCACCCCAAGAGCACCTGCAGATCTGGGGTCAACCCAACCATCCTTCATGGGGGGAGCGAGTGCACAGCCTACGGGTCCATCAGGTCAGTATCACTCAGCAACCAGAGAGTCGGAACCACTGAGCCCCCCATCGACATGAGCAACCCCGAGGGCCAGCGCTCAGTGGGAGAAGGCAGGTGCAGGGGCCAGGGGCTGTGAAGAGCACGCGGCTGATGACAAGGGGCCCGGGGACTTCTTGGGGCAATGGAGGTGTTCTGTATGTGTTGTGGTTGTGGTGTCAACTTCCTGCATTTGCCAACACCCACAGAACTGTATATGAAAACAGTGATTTTTCTCTATGTAAATGATGTACCAATTAAAAGTTTTTTAATGTATTTATTTGAAAGGCAGAGAGACAGTAAGAGAGAGATATCAAATTTCTATCCAGGGTTAGCACTGTGGCATAGCGAGTAAATCTGCCACCTGCAGCACCGGCATCCCATATGGACACCGGTTCTAGTCCCAGCTGCTCCACTTCCTGTCCAGCTCTCTGCTATGGCCTGGGAAAGCAGTAGAAGATGGCCCAAGTGCTTGGACCCTGCACTCACATGGGAGACCCAGAAGAAGTTCCTGGCTCCTGGATTCGGATCAGCACAGCTCCGGCCATTGCGGCCATCTGGGGAGTGAACCAGCAGATCGAAGACCTTTCTCTCTCTCTCTCTCTCTCTCTCTCTGCCTCTGCCTCTCTGTAACTCTGACTTTCAAGTAAATAATAAATTTAAAAAAAAAATTCTACCCACTGGTTCACTCCCCAGATGCCTGCAGTAACCAGGGCTGGGCTGCTTCCGAAGCCGGGAGACCAGAACTCTATCCGGGTCTCCCACGTGGTTGCAGGGACCCAAGCACTTGGGCCATCATCCTCTGCCCCCCGGGCACATAGGCAGGAAGCTGGACAGGAAGCCGAGAAGCGGAGACTTGAACCTGGCACTCGTGACTGGGATGTGGGCATCCCAAGGAGGGGTTTAATTTGCTGTACCACAACATCCACCCGAATTTTTGGAACCCAGAGAACAAGGAGCCCGCATACCACCATATGCTAACTTCCCATCGATGTAGCGAAAGACAGCATATGCAATTCAATGCAAAATGCACAGGATGAAATGTGCGTGGTTTTAGTTCCATGTTTAGTAGTGTACTCTAACCAAAGCCCTAGGTGCTGCTTCGAGAGTGGTAGGCGTAGCAAGTTACCCTAGATTTCCTTAATGGCTTTGCTCTACAGCAAGAAAAGACATTTCTCTGGATGAAAAAATAAACTCTTTAAAATGGAAAATGAAACGATCAGAAGCCAAGATAACAAGAGGCTGGTATTTGTTATTTGCCATGGGGACCTGTGGGTGTTTTTCCTATGGAGCTGGGAACACTTCCCCAGTCCTGCCCCCTGCGGGCTTAAATGAGATATTGCATGCATACGTGGCTCGCTTAGCCCAACACACAATTACTCAGGCTGTCTCAGCGGCTCTCCTACCTCCCTCAGCCCAGCCCAGCTCCTAGGTCCCTCCCAAGCTGCTCTGTGCTGGCTGGTACTTCTCTGTCTCCCTTGCTAGGCTGTGAGCTCCGTGACACGTGGCTGGGAGCGGAGCCTCAGAGGGCAGCAGCAGAGCACGCCCCCAGCACCTTTCCCTGGAGTGTAGGACGCCATCCCAAGCCCAGCAGACAGTGGGTGCCTACTGTGTATTCCTTTGAGTGGTCAGCTGGGCAGATACCCCCGTTAGCGAGCCCTGATGCCGCTCAGCCGGGAAGAAGCGTGGCCAGCCAGGAGGCGCCAAGAGACGCAGATTTGTGGCTGAGGGGCCCGCGTCCTGTATTGCACCCTAATTTAAGGTGGGGCGTCAAGGGCTTTCCTGGGAGGGGCAGAACGGCTCCCCCTGCCCCACAAGCCTGCAGCAGCTCCTCCCTACTCCCCAGGCTGCAACCAAGCGACGGAATGTTGTGTCGGTGGTTGCCAGGGCAACCAGAGCCTGTTGCTGGCTGCCCTGGGGATCAGGGAGCTGGCTGTCTCCTCGTCAGCGGCCCCGGGCCCCGGGGTTGGTGGAAAGAAAGCCGGGATACCTGCTGGGGAGCTGCTCGTGCCACCCCCCCCCCGCCAGGGGAGGGATATTTCCAGCTGACTTTGCAGGAGAAACTGTGAGTGAGTGAGTGAGTGAGTGAGTGGTGTCCAGGGCTGGAGATGGGGCTGGGGCTTCTCTCCCCTTCTCTCCCACCCCCTGGGAACTGGCGTCTTCAGGCACAGGCAGTTCTTTGTGGGTGATTACTGCCCCCATTTTGCAGAGGAAGAAACTGAGGCTCAGAGGGAAACTGCAGCTTCCCCAAGGCCTCGGTTAGGGCAGAGCTGGGCCGGGAGCCGGGATCTAACCTGCTCTTGGCCGCCCCCTCCCCAGCTGACATCCAGGTTAAATCCTTGGAACCAAGGTGGAAAGGATTCACACGGGCACCGCCCCAACACGCAGATACACAGACATGACACACATAGATACAGACGCACACAGACACGGACACACATAGATAGACACACATAGACACACACAGACACGGACACACATAGATGGACACACACAGACACACACAGACACGGACACACACAGATAGACACACATAGACACACACAGACAC